TTTCTCTAAATTTTCCATGATAATTCTTTTGGCGAGTTACTTTTACGGAAATTGGGCTAGAATGTCCATTATTTTTTGCCTTACTCACTCCGTTCCATTATAAAGATCAGTTGTGATTGAAATATAAATCAAATTTCATTAGCCCTACGCATTTTTGACAAATACAAATATATAAACGGCGGCGAGTCGATTAACTGTTGAAAGTTGGATCTAATTTTCAATCTACGGTCCGCTTCTCCTCGCTGTTACAATACCGGTGAAAACACCCAAGAAGAATATATCGGTATCCTGGCATTATTTATGAAATAAACGATTTTAATATAAATTTTGAGTAGTCATTTTCTCTAAATTTTCCTTGATAATTCTATTGACCAACTTTAAAGAAATTGGGCTAGATTGTCCATTATTTTATACCTTACTCACTCCATTCCATTATGAAGACCAGTCGTGATTGAAATATTAATCAAATTTCATTAACCCTCAGCATTTTTGACAAATAAAAATATGTAAACGGATCACATCATATTATTAGATGATATTATTAGCATACACTAATGGCATATCGCATAGGTTTGTTTGATGTTTATACATAAAACTTTATATTTATATCATAAAAATGTTTTAAATATCCTCTTAAAAATAGCTTAAATAGACTTCTAAGAATAGTACTTAGTAAGCAGAAGGCAAACAGCATCATTAACCTTGCCTATCAAAAGCTATCAGCTCCGGCTTAATGCTTACTCTAAAAAAAAAAAAAAAAAAAAAAAACTCAAGATAGCATTATCAGGGCAGAAAGCCATAACAGGATTTAGAAATATGACCGGATTATCATTGCCGGCCGATGTGAGACCAAATGTAGCCAGCCATGCATAAATCTTATATGTCCCTCGAATAACTGAATTAATGAGAAAAGAAAAGTAACCCATGAATTAATTAGGCCAGAATAAAGTACAAGGCCGGAGTTCTTCACTTTCGCTGGATTATATACAAAATCGAGGGCAGCGTTTCTTTCATAAAATCCGAGAAGAATTTTAGTTTATTTTGGCAACTGCATTTTTGAACTACCATGCCTGAAGTGTCGTAGAACGGAACACGCCAGAATATAATTATTTCTCAATAAATTCAATGTTTATCTGACGTAGTTGTACAATTTTTCGCAACTTATCGGTCCCATTTCACCCCGTTTTCTCCGACCGTTACGACATCTCGTGGAAAATGTCAGCCCCGTGAAATAAATGATTTTCCGCGCCTAGAGGCGTTCCCTAGGCTCCCACGGGGTTTGTTTTCACTGCCTGGAGCGAATGTGTACAGAAAGGAAAATAGTAATGTTTTTGATAAAGTTGTTGTTTTCAATTGTTATATCAGAGCAATTCGTAATTAATTTGATAGCCGATAAATTCCCAATCTGTAAGCATTCTTAAAACGTTAAAGTTACTAATTGACAAACAACTTGTAAGTTGAGTATATCAACCGAATTATCATTATTCGTAAAAATTCTAAATGAGCGAAACACTTGAAAGATGAAATAACAATCGAAGACGTTCGATTATCTTTGTTTAAAAATAAAAAAATTCACATACTATGACTGTAGTTCAAATAGGATTAAATAATTGTAATTATCTGAAAGAAAACATTTAGTTGTATTTAGGTTATTAGGTTTAATTTATAAAAGATTGCGTTTTTTTTTTTTTTATTTAGGATAGGATGACCTAGTTTTAATTCCGAATTAGATTTAATATCAATTCTATCAAAAATGATCGAACCAAATTAAAATTAGCGTAATTCGAACTAAAATAATTCGCAAATGTAGAGGAATAAAATCAAAAATCTGTCATACTCAAAATAGACTAATCCCAATGAAATTGGTCCAAGGTTCAACTTTCTTTTTGCAATTTATTTTCAACGAATTGAAATTAAAAATTTCTACTTTCTTTTTCCAATTTTTACCCTGCTATTGTAATTACCTTAGCGGTTTATTTTTTCTTGTAACGACTTGAATTTTTTAAAATTTTACGCCCTATTTACTATCGATTGTTTACAAGACGCCGGGGTAGAAAATATGTGAGTAATAGAAGCGATTTTAAATTGTTGTGATCGAGAAGGTTCAGGATCATCAGCAAAGGTCATCCCTAGGTCGGCCTATGTTCGATTATGAAATGAAGACATACAAACCACTAACTCATAAAGGGGAAGAAGTGGGATCACCGATTTTTATTACACTTTTTTTGGCAATACTAAGTCGAAAAAATTTTAAAATTCATGTCAGCACTCTCACAGCGGGTTAAAATATTTTCTTAGATAGAATCCAAGTTTAACCAAGTTTATTGCACCTTAAAAAAACTGAATACAAATGTTTGGGAAATTCACATTTCAAACGATTTAGGAATAATGGAAACAGGCGTCTTATAAATAATTTTGAACTGTACATATAAAATAAAACAATTGAAGTGTTTTTATTGATTTTATCATTATTTTCCTCACTTACGTATAATGACAAAATATGAACGTCTTGTCATAACTAATATATGTATTTTCTAATCATAATTTACCGTATTAATTATTTTAATTAATTATACTTATTATCTAAGGTTGTGGTTGAAATGTAAAAGCTAGGGCCGAGCTTCTTGTCATATTGCTCAATTTGTACGAAATCTAGTTTGTGTGTTTGTGTATGTGTGTGTGTGTGTGTGTGTGTGTGTGTGTGTGTGTGTGTGTGTGTGTGNGAGATAGGAAGTTGATGTCCGAGTGGATCGAGGTCACGATAGCTCAAGTGGTAGAGCAGCGGGGTATCTAGCCGAAGATCGTGGGTTCGAATCCCGCTCGTGTCATTGACTTTTTTTACCTCAACTAAAAACCTTAATTAATTGTAATTTACTGATAACGGTTTTTTTGTTTTTGTAATTTTTCATATATATCTGGCCATAACCTTGGCCTCCGTAAATAAATGATAACAGGAGATATAAAATAAAATTTATGGAGGGTTTTGTTCATTTCATTCGTATTTTGCACATTTATAATTACATAAACCAATTGATATAAGCTGAAAGAAGAAAAATGTAGATTTCCGAAATTTAAAACATGTTTGCACCCTATCGTTCGGAGATATATTTTCAAAGAGTAGAAATTTAGCTATTCAAGTGATCAATAATAGCGTAAATATTGGATAAAATCCATAAGAGTTATTAATATTTAAGTGGAACACCGATCAGAGAAAAATATATCCCAATGATCCAGCCCAAAAATGGTTATTTTTTGCTATAAAAAGAGTCTTCAAGAACTTTAAACGACTTAAAACATATTTTCCATCTGCTATGCGTGAGTTATGTCTAGGGAGATTTTTGTCAGCAACTGTCGTATCGTGGCCAGAGAATTTTACAGCTGTGTCGTCCGTACAAATTGCAAGGTAGGTATATATAGATATGGACATCTGTGGTATAAGGATACTAAGGGGTGGTCAGCATCTTCCCCAGCCAGATAGCACTAGTCAGATTAATCAGATCTTTGTCGGATCCAAAAGAACTTCTCTCGTGGATCAAGGCAGTGGATTAATTAAGTTGGAAGTAACAGACCGTTTTGCTACGTCAAGAAAGAGTACCGTATTTTTTCCCCTAAAGGGAGATCGATATACGAACAACGTGACACTTGCTGGACTGTCCAATGGTTGAAACGAAAACATAAAAGATGAGATGATGTATCGATCTGCTTGTTGAACAACTTGAACAGAAGGATGTTCGGTGAGGTCACAACAGAAATGATAATTCTTTAAGTTTCTGCCGAGCTTTCGACGATTATATCTTCATCATCAGGGGCTATTTATTTTGGGAAAACATCGCAGTTAGAAACATCATGTATTTTGTTTTTTAAATGATATAACATGTTTCTAACTGCGATATTTTCCCAAAATAAATAGGCCCTGATGGTGACGATAACCGTCGAAAGCTCGGCAAAAACTTAAAGAATTGTCGTTTCTGTTGTGACCTCACCGAATATCCTTTTGTTCAAGTTAAAAGCATAACATCTAAACATTGCCACAATAGGCTGAAACAAGAAATATTCAGCTTTCCAAGATTGTAATAACGTTGAATTTGGATAAAATCTAGAGAAGTGATGAATTTTTAAGTGGCACACTGGCCACAGGAGAAAAATTGTCCCCAGCAAATTTTGTCTGCCATACATTTAATACGATCCTTCTTATTATTTTCTTATGCTACGTAACAATTATTACATAGGTTGAAACAAATAATATTCAGTTTTCAACCGTTGTGATAATGTTGAATTTGTTAATCATTGAAGATCTAGGTAAGTTATATGAATTTTTAAGTCGAACACTGGATATGGCAGAAAAATCGTCCCCGGCTACTTCAGCTCAAAAATATTTATTTTTTGTTACCTATCAAATTTTGTTTCTTTAATGGATAATTGAAACGAATCTGAATCGATATTGCAAAAAACAAAAAAATCTTTAGGCCTAATTTTCGTTTTTGCATTTTTAAGCTTCTAAACTCATGTAATACGATCCTGCTGTTTTTATCCTATATAAACTGATCGACTGATATGTAATGACTTTTAAATACATGATTAAGGCAGAAAACTTTAAGCGGGGCTCCTAGGGCCCATTGGCAAGAAAACTCCTAAGAAAGTACTAATTGCCAATGGGCCAGAACACCGTGTCTAAGTTTTTGGTGCATGTATACACATCTAATAATTGTAAATTTGTAATCAAATAAAATTCCATGGCAATAGAAAAAATTACATCACAAAGCCAATACATGGTAAGCAAAACAAATGATTTCTCAAAATAAAATATAGAATTATGGACCAATTTCTGCATACGAATGAGCAAGAGCATTAATCAACTATCATTAAAATTTAGTTTTGTACGTGTTTTATATGGAAGTGGACACGTTGTACTCGATCGCATAGAAGGCGTTATGAACGTGACGAATTTCAAAATTTTAATCAAACGTGTTGTACAGAGATTTTGTATAAAATTCAACTACCTGGGCAGGATTTGTTTTGAGTCCTGGACTGTTGAGATTTCTGCGGATGGTTGTCCCCGCTGCCGGATCTTCCAGACTGCAGGACCATCCCGGTCCTCCTCTTCCTGATTCCATACGTGTGCACTGGTACGAGAAGCTTAGGCCGGGGTATGCTGAACTCCTCATCCTCGAAGGAGACCGTCTTCCCTCTGGGGACGTATTCGAATGAAGAGGCGACAGTCGACGTGACTGAGATCGGCTCGTCGCGGCTGTTTTCCAAACGTTTGAAAGGGCTCCTCAGGCCGGCCCAGTTGGCCTCGTAGCTCAGGCCCATTGCTTCTACCGGCCTCCCGGGATACGATCTCACCTTCATCTAACACATGGCACAGCCGGATCGAACCTACACACCTGAGCGACCGAGCTCCACTGGCGAGTGGCAGCTCCCCCACCGGACGGACCGCTTCATGGCTCTCTTCTCGCCCTACCACCCAGCCACCACGATCACTACGAATGTCTACGGCAAAAACCGACCGTTTGACGACAATTTCGCTTTTTGATCTACCGTTTAGCCTTCCTAGACTTTAATTACAGAACGCTCTTTGATACCTTGGTTGTTCTTGCTACTATACAGGCTATACTTTTGAGATATATACTAATTTTCTATACTTATTAGATGGCCAGGTTGAATATCTCTTGAACCAATGACGCTACAAAAACAAAAATTGCTTGTTAATATTTTTAGTATAGTTTCAAATTTTTACCTATTTTTTGGACAACAAGGTACCCTGTATAACCTCAGGCCCAGTTCAACTTCAAAATTTTAAGTACGACCCTATGCATCCTGACATACCATTTTAAAGGTTTGTTTACGCTGAAACAAATGGTGCGATCGGATTTTGAACTGGTCAAAAAATTGCAATGATATGGCAAAAAGTTTTAAAAAACGCATTTCGTTTGTTTGGTTGTTAATCCCTATAATTGGCCTTAAGTTTACATTCTGTCATTGTTTGTCAAACTCGCATTACGAGAGCAAATTTTAATTACTGGAAGTAAATAAATTTTACAGTAGTACGTACGTTACGTCAGTATTCCATTCAAAATGAACCGAAGAGCACACTTTTCCGAACAGATGATAAGTACGACTGTTTTATTGATGGTGATGGTTTGACGCATCGTACCGTCGAGTTGTACTCCCAGAAACTCCCTGGTCACCTCTCACAGTAAACCACAAAACGTTTATTCGTGTTGCTGTTCCGTTACCAATTTACCAGCCGTAATTCTGAATTCATCTCTCCGTAATATTGGAAGGGTTTTCGGTTCTTCAAAAAATAAAATTAGAGGTGTACTCCGGACTTACAATTTTAAGCCAAATCGCTCCATCTTGTTCAGCTACTTCGGGACTCTGATTATGACAGGCGTCTATCGTTCCTTGCACAAATGTTCATTTGGCAGACTAAAGAAAACGTTATTCCATACATCCTATGGTCTGATGAATCCAAGTTCACCTCTAATGGCATAATAAACCGTTGAAATTTTCGAATGATGTCGGCAGAGGAAAATCTGACAATCTCATACTCTAGTCATATTTAGGTGGTCCAAAGTAAAAACGTTTGGTGTGGACTCGGAAATAATTTTTGAGGGAGATTTTATCATCACTATTAGATGATGTTCCTCTACAACAACGACATAGAATGATTCTCCAGCTTGACGGATGCCCCCACACAATTTATTGCAGGTGAGACGTTATTTGAATGGTCACTTCCAGGATGGGTGGATAGGACCTCATGGGCCGATCTATGAGCCTCCTCGGTCACTCGATTGAAGTCCACGTGTCTATTTTCTGTTGGAACATTAAAAAAACAGTGTCTACGACAATCATAATCCAGCACCTCAGTTAAAGAACTGCGGCAAGGATAGAAAATGCTTTTCAATCCATCTCCCCTGACTCTATCGCCCAGAGCACCAGTGAAGAGTGGTTAAAAAGAACAAATCTTTGCACCTTTAAGCAAATCAGGCAGTTCGAACATAAAATGTGATTAATAAATAGCAAACCAAAAGACATTTTTTTTCAAACTTTTTGCTTTAACTTTGTCATTTTTTGACCAATTTAAAATCCGATTGCACCATTCTTTTCAGCGTGAAAAATACTCTTTAAAAGAATATATAGGGTCTATTTGAAATTTTGAAGTTAAACTGAGCCTGAGGTACCTTGTAGAATTTTTCTATAAAAAAGGTAAACATTTGAAACTATACTAAAAAATATTAAACAGGTTTTTAAATTTTTTTTTTTTTTTTAATTTTGGTTATACCCTCATTGGCTCCAGAGAAATTTTGCCGGGACATCTAAAAAGGGCACCATGTATTTAAAGGGCATTAAAATTGCAATCTCATTTCACGTTTTGCTAGTTCTACATCCATCAATTCAATTACGAGCTATTTATTACATTATTATTTTTGGCATACACTATGTGTTAAAACCCTTAGATATTTCACGGCACAAACTTGGGCTTAAAGTTCAGGAGGTAAAAAAGACTAAAATTAACAAATGTCTAAATCTAGACAATTCTACTTTAGGAAAGATAAAATTAAAAACGAAACGCTCATACAGAAAACATTAACAGCACAAGTCACAGATGTAACAAGGAATGTGAAATGTATCTCGAAAGGATGGAGAGATAAGAAGACCAAAACATGTTTTAGTCAAAAAATCTAGCAAAAAAAGAAAAAACAAAAAATCGCGGAAGCAAAACAGCCTATCCTCTCCAAAGGGCCTAAGTTAGTATTTAAAAAAAAATTAAACTGTATTACATATTAAATTCATTTCAAAAATGAGAAAAAAATTACCTTTTTTATTACAATAAAAATATACGTTATTATTAAAACTATCGAATACTACTCGATAATAATGTTTACTTTATTTACCGGTTATCATAAATAATTAATATTACTTATAGTATTAAAATGTTTACGCTTAATGTTTTTGAAAATTTATGCACGATGAATCTATTACTTATATTATAATACAAAATCATTACAATTATTATCACGGTAACTTAACCTATTTATCATTTTATCATTTATCTTTTGGTCTTTTTTATCCGTTCATCCTGAAAATTTAAAAATCAATTCTTATTCCGCAATGGATTATTCACACATATAACCTGTTGAACTATTATTTATCCAAATATGAAAAATCTTTTTTAATATTAATAGTTGGCATAATAAACTATAAAATAGAAAAGAATCAATAGCTTATATTCATAAGCGATATTAAATATATTATATGCTATAATACTGATCATGTTTAAAATTTAGATTCTTCAAAATGGATAAACGCTGATTCTAAAAAACGGTTTAATAATATAAAAAAGTAAAAATAAAAAATATACAATTTAGGCAAAATAACTATCCTTGCCCTCTCACTCTCTCTCTCTCTCTCTCTCTCCCTTTCTTTTTCTTGTCAGTCTTTCTCTCCCTCTCTTTCATTTCCCTATCTCCCTCGTTTTCTCTCTCTCTATCTCACTCACTCTCTCTCTTTTTTCTTGTCAGTCTAGCTCTCTCCCTCTCTTTCATTTCCCTCTCTCTCTCTCTCTCTTCCATTTCCCTCTCCCACTCTTTTTTCTCTCTCTCTCTCTCTCTTTCATTTCCCTCTCTCCCTCTCTTCCATTTCCCTCTCCCTCTCTTTTTTTTCTCTCTCTCTCTCTTTCTTTTTCTTGTCAGTCTAGCTCTCTCCCTCTCTTTCATTTCCCTCTCTCCCTCGTTTCTCTCTCTCTCTCTCTCTCTCTCTCTCTCTCTTTCTTGTCAGTCTAGCTCTCTCCCTCGCTTTCATTCTCCCTCTCTTTCTCACCCTCTCTCCCTCGTTCGCTCTCTCTCACTCTCTCTCTCTCTCTCTCTCTCTCTCTCTCTCTCTCTCTCTCTCTCTCTCCTTTTCTCGTCAGCCTAGCTCTTTCCTTTTCTCGTCAGCCTAGCTCTTTCCTTCTCTTTCGCTCTCTCTCTCTCTTTCTTGTCAGTCCCTCCCTCTCTTTCTTTCCCTCACTCTTTTTTTTCACAAGAATGTGTATTTAAACCGTCATATCTTATCATCGCAATTTGCACATTTATCACTTACAAAGCAAAAAAACACTTTGTTGTTAGTTTAAAATTTTGTTGTGACGTTTCAGTTAGGTTCCCTGAATTGGAACCCAACTATTTACAAACGGCTTTTAAGAAAAACAAAATCAATTGCAATAGCATTTTGTTCTATCTCACTTGCTATTCGGCCAGATCCGAAATATTATTTATGAATTGGGGTTTTGCGTTATACAAGAGAGAAGTTGGTTAATAAAACTATATATTTTTCACAAAAGAGGAAACGGAAAAGGTCGTTACCGTTACACTATCTTCCAATCGGGAGGTCTTCTAGGACGAAAAAATCAGGCTGAATTACATGAAAACTCCACAGTTTACAATAACCTAAAGCGTATCTAATGAGTATTGCGTACAATTCCCAGGTTCCTTAAGGTAATTTCAATAATTCTAATGAAGTTTAAAGTTTAGGTTGCAATGAAAATACATAAATTATGTAACAAGCGCCACATTTCTAATTTTAACATGGATATGTTTTAGGGCTAGACAAATCTTTTGCGTGAATATTTTCATGTGATATTTCGCGTTAACGGGAAGTGGCATAGGTTCTGGTAGGTTAGGATTAGCTTAACGGTTAGGAAGGAATAGGTTAGGTTAAGTACGGTTATGATAGAGGTAGGTAGAGTTAAGGTTTAGGACAGGTTACGTATCCATCAATGTTTTTCTTGAAGGGGAGAAAATATGTATTTGGGAAGTCCTTCTGCTCATTAGGCTTTAACCATAAAGCATTTAGCAATTCCTTCCGGTTAAGAGATTTTCTTTCCGTTAGAAAGTCAAACAGTACAATTAGCGGTCAGAGGTTCAATGCAATGAATATTCCATTTGTCCCATGGTTAATCTGGCCTTCTGGGTGTTTTTCAACAAGAGCGCGTTGAAATATTTCAGCTTTGACGGAATAACAACAAATTCCGTGGATGTCATGTTTTCAACAACGCACATCGTACAACAGTTATTATAAGGAAATTTGGGCTTAACACATTCAGATTTATACGGTAAAACATTCAATACGAGTTTATTAAAAAAAACAAAGAAGCTTATCGTGGCAATTGAGAAAGCAGTATCGCTTATCGTTTTCCTGTTATAAGTCACATAAATTAGTACATATTTAAAAATAAATAATGTTTTAATTGAAGGAGGAAAAGTGCATGTTTTTCCAAGCCAATCACAATAAATAACTGCCAATAAACAATTAGAAGAGGCTAATAAATTAGTTTTTGTTATTATTTCGTTTCATAAAAAGAGAACAACTCGACTCCTTAAAAATCGTTTTCTTGTTAACATAAAATGATCACATTTTGTTGTTTACTTTCTTTCGTATCCATTA